CGAGGAAAGCTTTCGTTTTCAAAAGTATCCTGAACATCAATTTCTCGCTCTGAGTGGGTGACAACTAATTAAAAACTTACTGAGACAAGTATTCCGTTCAATTGATAAAACTTTAAGTTCTTCTCAAGCGTTGTGGATGTTTTCAAAGATAACGTAACCCGTTGTAGGGGCTGATAACCGGAACTGACTAAACTAATCAGAACACTAAAAATACAATATCCGAAGTTGAAATTTGAATATTTTTGTATGGCCATGGATTGGGGCAGTTTTTTTCTGATTGGCCGAGTTGAAGAGAAAGTTTTCTGGACAAATCACGGAGCGAAGTAAAGCAAAACCAATGCAATCCCGATTGACTTTCGAAATGAAAGCGAACTACTAAGGACACATGTCGCAGTTTAACTTTGTGACCGGGAGGGAGTGTCGTTAGTACGGCCTCTAATGAAAAGTCTAATGTAGTGCATAATCAGAAAATGAGTGAGATATCCGGATCAAGTACCTGGGATTGGTATTAGATACCACGAGATATCTGAATAATTTGAAATCAAGTTTGAGAGCATCGGTTAAGCTGATTGCCGAGAATCCGACTACTGTTGACATTTTTGATAAGTTTTCTTGGATGTTGGCAAGTGAATTCCATAACCTCCTGTGAAAATATTTCTGAATTCGCATTTGACTCAATAAGATCATCTCAGCTAGAATCTAAAAATAGGTACTAAATAATCTAATATCTACGGGTGTTATCAATTACAAACGGGAAATTATTCGAATGAATTTTTAGAGAAAGGTCAGGGGGTAAAACTTGTCTTATATTCTTTTTATAAACATTTACCAGAGGATGGCTCCATATCAGGCATTTTAACATTCCTTACTACAAGTTTTTTCTTTAAAGGCTCTATCTCCTGGAGTTTACCAACGTCACATTTTGTGGTTCCCTGAGACCGCACCTATAATGATGTTCATTCAAACTTTCTCGGGTTTCTTAAGGCGATCATGAAATAAATCAAGAAAACAATGAAACTTAGTTTATTGAGAACCAATGGTGGCATGCAGTTGTATTGTATGGTTACCTCAGTTGTCCCGGGCATACAAGTTATTTTTTTTTACTTTCGGCCCGAGAATCTCGTGAAATTTATGAAATACGAGGACCTAAGATATATTAAGGAAAGTTAAGCATTCATGCAAAGATGGTTTTTAACAAGATTCCATATACTATAAATAAAAAATAAAAAAAAATGGACCAATTAGTGTTTCGGTCCGCTTGAACATCATGGGAGGTAAATTCTTGTTTCGATTGAGACGTCCATAGAGCTCTGTCTCTTTAACTGCTATATATCTAGATCTCACACCATTTCGTATCATCAGGTGTCGCCTTGGTTTCAGCCCGATTTGTTGTGAGCTTTCCCCCGTGAGTTCATATGGCAACCAGCGAAAGGTACGGCAAAAGGCTTGGCGATAATCTTGGTTTCGAAAGTAATATTTAAATGGATTTATTGCTGAAGAAGTGAATGCGTACGCCTCAACCCAAAACTATGCAACAAAGGCCGATGAATGAATTTCACCCGAGTCATTTGTTATGACATAGTAACAGTTAACACACAGCAGAATTAAATCGGGCATCCATATAATAATACAAGCGCCCAAACCAAAACCGATAATTTTGATAGCTTTAAATTTTTTTATAGTTCTTCCTCTATAATTCTCGTTGTACTTTCCTGTATTTTTCCCGCTGATATTCTGTGAAAATGATTTTTTGCTGATTAAAAAAATGAACGTATGAATATGAGAGTACAAGTAACGGAATAACAAATGTTATTGATGCTAAAGAAATCGACAGCACTGCAAAAGTAATATTTTCCTTGCCTTTGTGAAACAGGCACCTATGATCAACCAATAACAAAGAGAAAGAGCCGAGTGTGACAGTTGAAAACAGGATGTTTGTTCAAGTATGAACCACTTCCTCCCAGCAAGAGTGGTTTGTACGTGATGGAGAGGGAAGGGGGAACGACAGTTCAGGTACGAAGGTTCCATCGTTTTTCCTTATTCAAGCCAGTCAAACAGGCTGGCTTCTCTTGTTTGGTGCTTGTTCTTTCTTTCGTTAAAACTGCTAAATCCTTTTTATGGTTCGAGCAATATTACCATCAACGTTTGATGCTTTTCGCTAAAAGAGTGATCCGTGTTAAGCTAAGAGGTTCAGCTTACACTGATTCCCTAGAAGCCAAATTCTGTTACAAATTCACTTTAAGATTACTGGGAGAAAAATAGCAAATTCTACTGAATTATTTGGAAACACAGATGAATCAACTTTTTAAACCCCAAAGGATCTCCTGGGTAGGGATCACTGAACTGATACTGAGTAAGGATAGCATATTTCTGAATATCTCACAAAGGGCAAGGTCAGTATTGTATTT